TCGTGCGGGTGGGCAGCCATTGAGACAAACTTGGACACTGTACGGAGCTTTGCAGCGCTCTTACACTGAGTGAGAGCCCGATGCAAGAGCCCTTCTTCTTGTTCCTGGCGCTTGGGAAGATGGATGGGAGCAGCGATTGTAGCCCAAGGGATAGGGCCATTTGGCATCATAAGAGGGCATACTGGGCGGACACCTAGCTGGCTGGCCAGCCGGACGTTCCGTCTTAGAGCGCCACTCATCCTTGTTAACAAAACCGTAATTTGAAGCATATTCTTTTTGTCGCAACTTAAATTAATAATTTACTGTCTTTTTCAATATTCAAGTATGATCATCATAAGTTATTTTTTAATATTAACATAATCTAAAAGTATTTGGAGGCATCAAAATAAAAATTATAAGTGGTGAGGTCCAAATGTACATATATTAATATTAATGTAGTGGGAATTTAATAGCCATTGGATTGATTCCAATTTAGACCATTTGCTCCTATATATAAGCTAGAGTTTTTAGGGTAATTGATATACATATTTTTATATTCCTTTTCCATATTCTATACACTTACAAAGTGATTTAATGAGAGACCAATTAAAATCACTACTTAATCTCCAACTTGTTGACAATCAAAATGACAAAAGAGTAAATTATAATACTAAAGTTATTTCTTATCATGTGAAGCCTTGAGTTTTAGCTTAACCAATCTTTGTCTTATGATGTGTGGCTCCTTGATTGATATTGCCTTTTTAAATATTATAGGTAATTAGAATTTAAGAATGTTTTAAATTATATATAAAAATATAAATTAATATGTTTTAAAAAATTATTTTTAAACTCAAATATTTTAAATTACTTTAATATTATAACAATATAAACTATTTTCTATCACTAGATTAGTGTTGTGTATGTAAAATAATATTTTGAATATAAATATGGTAAATAATTCAGGAGCTTACACTTGGTCATTATAGGTTGAAAAATGTGTAATACATAAGAGAAAAAAACCTTTCATGAACACAAATATAGTTTTGTCATCATATGACTAAAATGGTTAACGAATATGAATATGAACATGATTTTGTCATCATTTGAGTAAAGTGGTTAACAAGTTTAGGCAATTGGTTGAGGGTAGTTAAGCGTACTCAAGCTTAACATGCTAAAGTAGATGGAATTTTTTACTATAATAGCCATATATATTTATCATAGGTGGATGTATTGCTTTATCAAAATTTATTTCACTATTATGATCATCCTAAGCTTAATCATTTAAGCTGGAAGAAAACATATAAACTGATTAAGTACAATTTTTATTAAAGGAATATAAAGGATAGTATCCTCAAGTATTGTAAATCATATGAGCTCTGTCAATAGGTAAAGGTCCCATGGGAAAAGCTAAGGGGACTTTTGTAACTAATGTAATATCTTTATAAACTTCATCATTTATTTGCTATGAACGTTGAGGCAAAAGGAATAAGTATTAGTTATAGTAAATCAATTGACAAAGTATATGTGTTGTTGGCTCTTTGGAAAACTGTCACTACCTTAAACTTAGATGCAGTATATAAAAAGTCTTTCCCTATTTTGGTTTGCCAAAAGACATTGTCAATGATCAAAACTTAAAGTTCATTAATGGATTTTAGAAAAACTTTGTGAAAGTTATATAAATAACTTTGAAACTCTCAAATGGAGATCATCCTCAAATGAATGGGCAGACCAAAAGAAAACTCTCACTTAATAAGAGAAAAAAAAACTCTCACTTAGATATCACATATCCTAATCACAAGAGAAAGAAAACTCTCACTTAAAAATGTGCACAAGAGAAAGAAAACTCTTACTTACATCATGTGTCCTAGTGTGAGAAAAAAAAACTCACTTAGATATCATATATTTTAGTGTATGACGTTAAGGCTTGAGTGTTGTGCTAAGTCATTATATATTGAATCCTAAATACAACCTTCTAGATTGAGATTTGCTAGGAGGGTGTTGGATGTAGAGAGAGAAAGATTGCTTTTAATTTTTATTCCATATTTTTTCCATGCTTACTAAAACCTTTTTATGTAGGTGAATATAGATAATATAGAACATTGTTATGCAATTCAGAAGCTAAATAGGCCTTTCTATTGACTAAAGATTTAATATAATATTATTCAGTATGCATTTGATGCTAAAACCTGTACTCACCCTTAGGTTAGAGTTAATTATAATTTCCCGTTTGTTTGAGTTTATAGTGTGATTTAATGGGGTTTTTTCCACAATTAACTAATGGAAATGAATATTATATTCAACTATTTAACTTGTTGGTTAGAAATTGGTGCTTTTGTTAGGGCATCTACAATTATTTTTACATATTTACTCCTTAATTGAGTGGTATTTCAATATTCTTGTCTGAAATAAATTCTCTTAAATGATTATTATAGTTGAGGTATTATTTTGATGTAGCCATTGGATTGGTTTCAATACAAACTATTTGCTGTTGTATATATTCCTATTATATATATTAAATAATAAATAAATATATTTTTATTTAAAATTTCTAGAAAAACATAGTTTATGGATCTTCTTAAATATGTAATATTGTTCATAATTTTATCCAATTTTCTTACAAAAACACCTTATTTACTTTGAATATAAGAAAATTTTTCACATGAATATTGGCAATACTATGACAAATTTACTTAGCATGTTTATAATTTAAATGAATATATCGGTAAAATATATTAAAATATCCAAAAAATTACCATAGACCAAACTATAATAAGATCCCTATATTCTGTTTAATCAGAAAACCAAATAAAAGAACATCTTTGAACCACTCTAAATCTTATTCCTCAATTCATCCCAGGATTTAATACAGTGCATAAAAGAAAAGGAAAACTCTAGCTTTATACATATGCTACTCAGCCACGTGTCCCAGTGTATGTCTGTGGAGCTGCAAAGCTGCTATGTGCCAGATTTTCAGTTCAGAGGGCAGATTAAAAGCCGAGAAACCGAGGAGAGAAATCTACGCCCAGGTTCATGTCTGGCGCCTTCAGTGAGTGAGCCTCCACAATTTACTAACTATTCATTCCATGCAGCTGAAGCAAATGTTGATGACCAAGGTGCGGGGTCCATGTTCGCATGCAGCAGAGGAATGGACGCAAGAGCTTGACCAGGGCCTGAAGAAAGAATTTTCTTTTCCTCTTTCCTTTTTGAGTCCTCACTTTGTTTTACTCTTTCAACTTGTGGACGATAGCCTGTTTTTTGCTTGTGTGTGCACTGAGAAGAAGTCGTACGATTGATCTCCTGACCAGCGAAAAATGTCTCCCGCTTCCTGGTACAGGTCTGTCTAGCATAGCTGCCTTTTGCTGAAAGTAATAAACTTTGTGCTGCAGAGAGTTGCCTAAATCAAGATACATGGTGGACGTACGATTATTTTTGCCTGAAGAAAGAGTTCAACAATAAGAGACTCAAAGACGTCAAGCGAGTGAGCCCTTCTTTGCCTCTTTCGTTTTCGAGTCATCTACTTAAGAGCCTTCAAGTGAACTGGTTCTACTGTTTCAGGAATCTTGCTGTAACGGGACAGTTGTGGACGACCCAGAGCTAGGACAAGTTTGTTTTTTTGCTTGTGTGTGGTTGCTGTTGCACGGATCTGGCGCTGAGAAGAAGTCGTTCGTACAATTGTTTTTTCTTTCTGCTTGTTTTGCAGGTGATTCAGCTCCACGGCGACCAGCGAAAAAATGTCTCCAGTTCCTGGTACAGGTCTGTCTAGTTTCCTGTTGTGAAAGTGCCCCGTCGCCCACGACTTGTTGGAGCCGGGTGATCAGCGTGCTAGTAACTACATCATCCCAAGAAGAAGAAAGGCGCCACGCCTCGCTTCATCGGCAACCTGGTGAAGCGGTCCAAGAGGCATACATGGACGAGCAAGAGGAGGCTGGCGATGGAAGTGGATGCCGTTCCTGAGACAAGTTTTAAAGTTACATTTCTTTCAAAAACCCGAACGTTTACTTGCCTGCATGAGATCATTTGCCATCCAAGCGATTTCAAAGGCCCAATCACACTTTCGTCTTGGAGGACCCGACAAAGGTTTCTTAGCAGCAGACTCCGCGACGGCCTAGGAAGGAGTAAATGGAGTTAATCCGAATTATCTTCTACTCGTACATTACTCGGTAGAGTCCCTCTCTGTAACACCTGCTTGATCGGCTCGTTAAATTCGCTGTTTCGTTCGAGTCTTGACACCAGCAACTCTGTCAAGATCCCGTGCTTTTGAGATGAATATTATGAAAAGTTTTCTCTCCTTGGGAGTCACGTGGTAAACCCTTGGAGAGGTGGTAATAAAACTACCGATAAAGTAGATGGCAAAGAACTTAAGTCACCGTATTCAAAGTCAAGCCAAGTGGATTACCTCCCTGTTACACTCTAATGTATAAAGAGAGAACCAAAAAAAACCGAGAAACTGCAGCTCTTTATCAACCTGACAGTCAAACATGTGAAAAGGAAAACAACATAGTAACGAAAAAACGAAGAAAAACAAAGAAAACGAAAGGAGCAAAATTCCTGAGTTCTCCTACAAGCCTTTCAAGTTTCCGCAGCAGCACACGTATGCTCTCGTTCAATCCTTCCGCTGCATTGGCTCCAGTACCCATGGAAAAATCGCTAACTCGACTTCTCGCCCTCGCCCAATCAATCCAGCCCCGCGCCTCTTCTCGCAATCCTGAAAATGTGACGAAGCGACAGAGAAGCTAATCCGCCCCGCCGAGCAATAGTGCCAGTGATAGAAGTAAGTTCCTTGCTGGCAAGCGATCAGGAAAACTCAATCACTTTGCCTGCATGTAGATGACACTTATTTCTCGCTTCCTATCCATCTAGACGTGGACAAGAGCTATGGAGGAAGATCGGCTGTGCCCCTTTTCTAGAAGGAAGCTGATTATTGACAACGATGAGCTTTTGGTTGAGTGGGCGAAAGGTGGCGAGGAGACATCTTCAAGGAACAAGACAACGGAGTCGAATATCTATTGCGAATGGTGTTCTTCACATGAAAAGGAGATCAAATTTAACGAAAACTACAATGTTTGAACCAAGAGCACTGAGGTTGGAAGACTCATATAGTTTTCTGAAGCTCAACATCACAAAAAAGACGGCTTTAGAGAAATACAGGAGCAGTAGCCTAGACTCTGAATCCTCGGCTGTTACGTCGCCCGCGAGCCTTCTCAAACTTGCGCCCCTTGGAGCGCACGTACGGCTTGGTGTGGCTGTGTGGCACACCAGGAGCCGGCCCAAAGTGCTTCACGGCCTCCCGAGCGGACTTGCGACCCCTCAAAAGTACCTTGGCAAAGCAACAAGAAAACTAAGAAACAGGGAGGGACTTTACGACTGATCGCTGCTTACCGTGTTGCATCCAGTGGGTGCCAGGAGCGCGAGCTCGTCAAAGGTGAGGCATTTCCCTCCGGCGTTGGTGATCCTGGCGCGGGCAGTCCGGGTGAAGCGCAGAGCCACCACTGTCATTGCGGGAACCGCCGCGAGTCTAGGATCGTCGGTGACCGTTCCAACGAGGACAGCGATCTTTCCCGACTGTGTCAGAAGGAAAAAAGAAAAACCAATCAAGAAGTGATGCGAGCAATCGGAAACCTCACCTTCTTTTCCATGCTAGCGGAGAGGCGGGAGAGGGACACTGGCGGCTGGTTGGTTTTGCTCATGAAGAGCCGCTTGAGGATCACAGCGTTGAATTTGCTGTTGGTCCTTCTGACCAAGAACCGGTAGAGCTGCGAGAGAGGAAATGGAAAAGAAAATGCGTGAGAAATCGCGCAACCGCTCTAGATCCAATGCCAAATCCCACGCACTCACCTTGACGAGCAGCTTGAGGTAGACATTGTCACTCTTGGGGGCTGTCCGCTTGGTCTTCTTGTTGCGCCCGCCGGCTTCGATGTCGATACCCTGCAGCAAAGCGAGCGCCGTGAGACGAGGCCATCCATCGCAGCAGGGATCCACCTACCATGGCGCTGCTCCTCCTCCTCCCTGGCGGCTGAAAAGCCCTAGTCCCCACAAAACCCTAAATCTAGCCCCAGTCCGGTGTTCGATTCCATTGGACAACGTTAAAAGGAATATTCTTTTTCTGCCAAGGTTTCAAATCCAGCCAGGAACCTTGTGGTCATGGGTTCGAACCCTTTCCATCGACATTTTATTATTTAGGGTAGTAAGTCTTGGAATATGCTTTCAAACTAAAAGAAAAGCTATCGTTGCTTGCCAAGAAGGAGACTTGCATCAAGCACAATGCAGAGAGAGCGCTGCAAAGCTCCTCACGGTGTCCGAGTTTGTTGCAAAGTCTAGGCCCCGGCACTGGAGCTCGGTGCATGGAATACATGGGACTCCGCCGAGGTGGACGAGACGCTGTTCCTGGAGCTCGCAGTTTGCTACATTGCTTGCCTCTGCGCCTCAAGTGCCGAGAGGAGTGCAACGCAGCTGGATTGTATGGTTGATTTCGCCTGCCAGAAGCTGCTCTCGTCGGTTGGAATCCATAGACTTTCGTCGCTGGACGCAGCTAAGCAAGATGAGAGCGAGCACTTGGAGCTACTTTGGGCAAAGTTTTGCGAAAACAAGGTTTGTGTTTGTCTCATGTTCTTTCCTTTCTTTTTCACGTTTCCTTGGTTCGAATGGCCGAAAAACCAGCACGCAACGAAACCGATATGGATCTCCCGTACCAAAGATCCGCTCCACTCCCGTACCGGATGCCTTCGAACCGGAAATTCAGATGAAATAAACCATCTGTTGCTTCAGTTCTCTCATCAAATAATGTTTGCAGGGTGCTGCCAAGGCAAAAAGATGACGAGTAAACCAGGCACAAGGAATACACAAATACCATCTGGTTATGGTGCACTCGAGCCACCGTGAAATGCCCTCTATGTCTCTGCTGGTCAAGGAACTCGTCCTGCTGCTCCAAGGGATCGAGAACAACAAGTTGCTGCGATCACTCGTCATGGAGACGCCACCCCTGTCCGTGCTGCCGCACCACCAACGCCTTGCATCTGGCTTGGACGCTACGACCTCCGAATCTATCACAACCACAACTTAACGTGTAAGTTGTTGCCTCTCAAGAGTTTATCTTTTTAAAAGCTTGTGTTCGGTACACAGGATGCTCCAAAGCAGGAGGAGAAAAAGGATAGTTTTTTTCTTTTATATGATCAGAAGTGTGAGCTTATATCTTCGTGTTTGCACCACACAGGTGTTGCGGGATGGCTTTCACAAGGAGCGCACCCCCATCTCTGATCGAACAGACCTGCGACGTGACACTCATGACAGCTTCTGGTACATGATCCGATTCTAAAGCTACTTGACTTACTTCGTGCGTCGTTTTCATCTCCTTTTCGTAAGCGTCCACGATTGCGATCCCAAAGGCCGCCTTGGCGTGCCTCTAGGAAGTATGTTGGGCATTGCAGGGAAGTTCCAACACCCCGTGAGTCTGTGCTCAACGATGTCCATAGAACATTCACAAAGACTCTCGGGTTGGAGAAGAAGTCGAGACCCACCAGGGATGGCAGTTCTGTAGGTAGAAGCTCGAGAGTTGGATGTAGAAAAGAAAGATTGGTCCAAAATTGAGCTTAATTTACGGGACATTTATGGACTGTTATTGACTATGTTCATTTGGCATTGACTCTGCCAGACTAGCTTTCGACGACGTTCTTTTGAGGCGAGCTCGTCTGCTCGTACGGCCGTGGTACAGGATAATCAGATCTTGGAGAAAGACTAGGGCATTCGCGAAGCCTCGGACTTCTTGGAGAGAGGAAGGAGATTCTTGTAAGCTCTTAGATAGAACTCATTCTTATTTCCATCTCTTGGATTCCCACGTCTCGGCCAATGCCACTGCTTGCTCGAGCGTCTGGGGATTGTGATCATCCACGCCCATCCGGACGCTACACTTGAGGCCGTGCACGTAGTACGCCACCTTGTCCTCATCGCTCAATCCGGGCAGCCGCGACACGAGCTTGCAAAACCGTGAGCTATACTCCCTCACCGACTTGAGCTGCCGGAGATCCATGAGCGCGAACTTGGCCTCGCGCTGGTAATTCGCGGGCATGAAGAACTTGAGGAACGCGTCCCGGAAATCCTCCCAGCTGCCCACCATGGCGGAGCTGGAGCTGGAGTTCTTCCACCAGAAGTAGGCCGCGTCCTTGAGATGGTAAGTCGCGATCAGCACTTTCTCGTCCGGGGTAGCCTGGCCGATTCGAAAGTAGCTCTCCACCTTGTGGAGCCACTCCCAGATCGTCTCGGCGTCGCGCTCGCCGCGGTAGATCGGGATCCTTGGCGGCTGGTGGTGCTCCTGATGGATGCGCGAATCGAAGGAGCCATTGGAGCTTTGATCCGAGGGGCTGCTGCCGCCCTTCTCCTGGTCGTGGAAGCTGTAGCTCTCGATGGTCTCCTCTTGCAAATCTGGGTATGGAGGAGGAGGAGGTGGAGAAGGAGCCACATTGGATTCTCTGTGCTTGGCCATGGTGTCGAGATTGGAGACGAACACCTTGGTGGTGTGCTCAAAGAGATTGGAGCTAGAAGTACCTCGCGGGATTGGAGAGAGCGACGAGGATGGCTGCTTGCTCCTCGCGGTGGCACCGGCGGCGACCTTGAGGCTCAGCACCTCCGCCGAGAGCCGCGCCAGGAACACATTGAGCTCCGCCATGACGCCCTCGAGCGATTCCAGCCGCCGCTCCAGCTCCTCCTGCCGATCCTCGCTGGTGGGTTTCATCACGGGATCCACCCAAGCTGCGCGGATCGAGACGATTCGGAGATGAGCGATGATGATCCACGCACAAAAGCCCCAAATGTGCTATTTGAAAATGGATAGTACTGTCGGTGCGGTGATGGCGATGAATCGCCAGCCCGCCAGCGCGATCTGATTCAAATACTTTCCCCATAATCACCGCGCTATGTATTCCAACGCGCGGTACAGCGCGGTAACTGCAGCCGTACCGCACGGTACCGCGCGGTACAGTGCGGTAGCACGCGCTAACTTAACTTCCAGGTTTGGTCGGCCAATCCACATCAGTCGCCAGATCTCTGCACGTTGCTGGTTTGATTTTTGTTTCCTCGATCAGTACACACGTGATTGCTGCTGCTAGATCACTCGATCACCACTGCATCACTGGAAAAAAAAAACAAAGAAAGAAACGATAAAACAGAGTAAAGCCACATTTGTTTTGCTTGTGTTCTTGTCTGGATCACAGAGCACAAACAAAAAGCTCTCAGACGCAAGCAAAGCGCGAGACTTCTCTCTCTTTCGCGATCGATCTCGCTTTCCAAAACTCTCCTTTCCCAAACTCTAGCCAAAAATTCCGCGGGAGAGACAGGCATTGAAGACACGACATGAACAGTCATGGGATCCATCAACCGTAGCGTCATACGTATGCTCTACCCAGGAGAGTCTTGATCCATCCAATTCTATAATAGAAGTTCCAAGCTAAGAGTCCGAGAATGAGAGGGAAAAGATAAAAGCGCTGGTGTAGATAGATGTGATTGAAGCGTTTTGGAAAGGAATCCTCATTGTTTGTGAGTGCGCTCGCATGAGAGTTACTCGTCTTGTTGCTTTGTGTGGAATAGTATGTATGGTCGCAATACAAAGCTTCTTCCACGGGCTCTCAAAGTCAAGCCTCCAGACTCGATCAAGATCGCTCTAAACGCGGAGTTGATCGAATCGTTTTACAGTTCCTCTTCTTCTTTTTAAGGTCCTTGATTCCCATCCCAATCGTTGTCACTCCTTCCTCCTGCACGATCCGATCGATCCTTAGCTGGAGAGCATTCTCCAGAGGAAGTCTCTTTTCTCCTTCCAAACTCCCCAATATCTGCAGGAAAAACCGTCCTTTTGATCGACGAGATCCTCCCTCTTCGTCTCTAGCTCGCGGTGATTCGAACGAGCGAGAGAAAGGAGCAAGAGGAAATGGAGAAGATCGCGGCCCTGGTGCTAGCGACTGCGGTGGTGATAGCCTGGATCGCCCCGGCCGCGCGAGGCGAGGTGAGGAGCTTCCAGTGGAAGGTGGAGTACATCTACTGGGCTCCGGATTGCGTGGAGACGGTGGTGATCGGGATCAATGGGCAGTACCCGGGGCCGACGATCCGCGCCACCGCGGGCGACACCATCCGCGTGGAGCTGGAGAATGGAATGAGCACCGAGGGCCTCGCCATCCACTGGCATGGAATTCGCCAGGTTAGAGCAAAGAGTTTCCTCTCGATTGGATCATCGATTTCCAGAGAGAAGAGAGCGGTCCTCTAAAGATGATGATGATGATGATCTCGCAGATTGGAACTCCCTTCTACGATGGCGTCCCATTCGCATCCCAATGCCCGATCAATCCCGGCGAGACATTCACATACGAGTTCGTGGTGGACAGAGTGAGTGAGTGATTGATTGAGCTCGAAGATCAAGCACTGATTTTTCTATCCATTTTTTCCTCTGATCGCTGGCAGCCAGGAACTTACTTCTATCACGGGCACTATGGCTTGCAGCGCTCGGCCGGGCTGTACGGATCGCTCATCGTCGACCCCGTGCCGAGCGACGCCGTACCATTCACTTACGATGGCGAGCTCAGCATCGTCCTCAACGACTGGTGGCACCGATCGATCTACAGCCAGGAGACGGGCCTGTCGCAGCTGGGCAGCGCGTTTCGATTCGTGGGCGAGCCCCAGGTAAGAAGAAAACGCAAACGTCGCGATCGCGACAGGGGGATGGATCGTTTATCAGTCGATTGATCTCTCGATCGATGCGAAAAGTTTCGAGCTAAAACGAATCACACTGTTTTGCTGGCGCAGTCGCTGCTGATCGAGGGTCGCGGTCGCTACAACTGCTCATTGATTCCCGCGGCGCCGTCGTCTCCACCCCTGTCGGGCGATGTAATGTCGTGTAACAGCTCCCGGCCGCAGTGCGCGATGCATGCCCTCGCCGTACGGCCGGGTCTGACGTACCGACTGCGCATCGCCAGCGTCGCCTCATTGTCATCGCTCAACTTTCTCCTCGAGGTACGGTACCCCATCTTCCATAGCCCCGTACTCTCATCCGTACACACCTTTCGCCATTTCGTCTCAACTCCCTT